TGCTAACCTCAAGGTCAGCAGTTTGAAACTACCAGCTGTTCAGTGGGAGAAAGATGAGGTTTTCTCTTCCTGTAAAGATTTACAGCCTCAGAAACCCTGTGCAGGGTCACTATGAGTCGGTACTGACTCCACAGTACTTAAAAACAACAACAACATATATATATACATACATTGGTATAGGGCTGTAGGATAAACATTTGACCTCAAGGTCAGTTTGAACTGTAAGGTCAGTGATTCAAACTCACCAGCTGCTCCTGAGAAACCCTAAACAGGGACTCTATGGGTTGGAACTGACATGACGGCACTTAACAACAACATGTATATATATAGTACTTGACTCTTTAAAGCCAAATAACAGTCTACAAGAGTCCCTGGTGATGCGAATGTTTACCATGCTTGGCTGTTAACTGAAGGGTTGGAGGTTTCAGTCTCCCTAGAGCCTTCTGCGAAGACAGGCCTTAAGGTCTGCTTCTTTTGTCACAGTCATGGAAGCCCTATGGAGCATGGTTCTACTCTGACACATATGAGGTTACCAAGTGTCTTAGTCAACTGAACAGGCAGTTGGTTTAATCCCTAATTAAGACAATATCCTTAGACTCTACCAACATTCTTTATAGTAGTCTAATGATAAGAGAAGTGAGGCCTGGAATAGAAAACTGACCTATCCAACTCACATGAATCATCAGCCACATGAGAAGAGGCTGTTGGAGTTCCAAGTTTTGGTTTCTGATTAATTTTCTAAACTGCAAGTCACTGCTTTGCAAAGAAATCGCCAGTGTAGTTAGGTCAGAAGAATTCTAATAATTTAACTTTGCAAAATGCAGACAGTGAACGAGCTATTCCAAATTGTATAAGCAAAATTACAGACACACCTTGGACAATATATTTTAATGGGCATTGATTTCATGGTTAATATTTCAGTTTTGCTGAAGAAGCAATAACAGTCTCTATTCAAATCTAGCCTGGTGGAGGTGGTGGTTGTGTGCCACTGAATTGGTTCCGACGCACAGTTACCCTGTATAGGGTTTCTGAGGCTGTATATCTTCACAGGAGCATAAAGCCTCATCTTTCTCCTGAAGAGTAGGTGATAAATTTGAACTACTGATCTTGTGGTTAGTGGCCCAACTTGCAACCCACTCCCCTACCAGGACTCCTTAAATCTAGCCTACTTAAATCTTATCTATAATTACTGAAGATGAGAAGAATATATGCATTTATAAACAGACATAATTTTTTTTTCATCCTTTTGATAGTTGAAATATATAACTTGTAACATTTTAATATTTCACAAGTGGGTCTTTTAGATAGATTTCAGTAGATCAATACTTTGCACCATAGTTGAAAATCTTAAAGACACATACACTTGGTGGCAGTAAACTGAATAGGCTATGTCCAAGACCCACATTAAAAAAAAGAAAAACTCTACTGCTTTCATAAAAGGAGAAGTATACCACACATGCATCTGGAGACACTAACATAAAGATGTCACCCACACATTAATTTAGAAATATACTACAGTGTCATCGGAAGTCCCATGTGCATCTTGTTAAATGTCCTCAAGTCAATTCTGACTCATAGCGACCCTATGTAGGGTTTCTGAGGAGTGGCTGATGACCTGAACCACTGAGTTTGTGGTTCAAACCAACTTTGCAGAGTAGCTCATTAACTGCAACACCATACCTTGTAGGGTGTGCTAAAATGTATGTAAAATTTACTTGAAGGGAAAAATTCAAGAGAAATTCAAGGAAATTTTAATAAACTATCAGCACGCCACAATGATAAATATTTGGCGGGCACAGGCTAATGAAATGAAATTGGAAGTTCAGAACAGGCACAAATGTATATAAGTACTCAAGGAGAAATAACAATGAAAGGATGAGAGTATTTAATAAATAATGGTGTCAAAACTGAGTACATTCATAACTGACAAGTTATATCAACTAAATTCTAGGTAGATTGAACATTCCAATGTACCTAGAACAAAATGTTTGGAAAAGTTTTCTATGTAGGACTTTGAAGTAGAAATCAACTATAAACAAAAAATGCAAAAATTGGTAGATTTGACCACATAAAACATAAATAATATTCAGTAAAACAATTACTTAGATATTAAGGATATCAATAACTTTTGGTGTCACTTATCTATAATTACTTAATTTCATCATTTGTCTTTTAATTTACTTTAGATCCTTCTGACATAAAAATTTTTAAAAAACGGTTAGAAGTTAAAAATATCAAACTTTACAATGTCATCCTTTATTTTGGCTTAGAAAATGTTTAACTCAAAATCAGACCAATTTTCACCATTGTTTTCTTAGAATTCTTTATTTTAAGTTAGTCAATTAAACAAGGGGTCAAAATGTAGCTCTCTCCCTTGTAAACTGTGTGATCTGGGAATGTTACTTAACATCTTTGTGCATCCATTTCATTAAACACACACACACACAATATTACCATACTGTTAGAGTTGCTTTGGAGATAAAAAAAAATACTTTGGATAAAACATTTATCATGGCAGATCCAGCTACATAGAAAGTATCAATGAATGGTAGCTATGATTTGAACCCACCAGCTGCTTCTCCGAGAAACATGAGGCTTTCAGCTCCTGCAAAAAGATCTGAAGCCTTGGAAATCCTATCCCAGCACCAACTCCACAGCACTGAACAACTCTTAATACGATCGCATTGCAGAATAGGTTTCTTAATTTTCATTGGAGTATTTCCAAGGCAACCATCTTAAGGTAATAGTATTTTCACATGATTTATTTAATGCTATGGTTTTTTTCCTTTTAAACTGATTTCCAAACCACGATATATGCTAATCACAGAAAAATACCTTAATGTTTTGGCAACAGTGCAGTTACATAAATCATTCTATAAAGCTCTTTACTAATTTGGTCTTTTAAAGTAGTCTGAAGCTGTGAGATTGCCAAGTCATGGGGTAGTCCAAGAATATTAAGACGTTTCCAGCAGTCACGAACTGCTGAGATAATTTATGAGTTTGACATATAAATAGGATGTTTATTCTTCTGAATCTTACCTCTAATAGGCCATCCTCAGGTAGATCAGTACAATGAACAGCATTCTGGATCTTAGTTTTACCAAAGATGGCTCTGAGGGTCCCAGGGCGTAAGTGCCGGGCAATTTCCTATTCAAGACAAATTCCCACAAAGATCAAAGTTAATCATATGATCCTAGTAAGAAAATCAATAGCTGTGTACAACACCTGTATTATTTAATTTATAAATGCATGTATATGGTGATGGTGTTTTTCCTAAAAGTACCATGAATGTATCAAAACTGCCAGTGTTCAAAAATTTCAATTTACTCCTTTCTCTGTGGCTCACTGTGAAGTCCACTGTAAACTCTGTCAGAGGGCAACAGTTCATTACTGTGAAACCCTTGAACTTAAAGAGATAATAGAGACCCTACTCCCTTGATTTAGAATGAACCAGTTTGATGGTATCAGTGATAAAAGGCTTTAGTTCTTAGTGAGTGCTTAGTATGCGCTCACTTTGAGGGGTGGGTAAATGGTACAAATAACTCAAAATTTTGGATTAAAGAAGAAGGTAGAAAACTAAAATGTGAGAGTATCAATGGCCTACTTAATAGTCTTCCTTTTCTTCTACTTTAAAGAAAACAATTGAGAAATGTATTACACAAACCAAAAGGTATGTATGAGAATAATAATAAAATGAATATCTATGTATCCACTATTAAAATATCATTATCAATAACTTTAAAGCTCTCTGTGTAGGCCCTCTATTGCACCCCTTCCCATTTTTCAAAAATTCACTTGAAGATTCTGTTGTTTCTATAGTTTCTAATACTATAGTCCTTTTTATTTGTCCATGTTAATGTGCACATTTATTTTATTACTATATATACTGCTATACATGCTGCCAAAAGAACCAATAGATCCGTTTTGGAAGAAGTGCAGCCAGAGTGCTCCTTGGAGGCCACGATGGCCAAACTTCGTCTCCTCTCATACTTTGGACATATTGTCAGGAGGGAGCTGTCGCTGGAGAACGATATCATGTTTGGTAAGGTGGAGGGTCAGAGGAAAAGAAGAAGACCCCCAACGAGATGGATTGGCCAAGTGGCAGTATCGATGGACTCAAGCATGGCAACAATAGTGAGGTTGGCCCAAGATCGGGCAGTGTTTCATTCTACTGTGCATAAGGTCACTATGAGTCGGTACCGACTCGATGGCACCTAACAACAAATACATGCTAGAATATACACAGTATGTGGTTGTGGTGGTTGTGTGTAGTTGAGCCGGTTCAGACTCATAGGGTTTCCAAGGCTGTAAATCTTATGGGAGCAGAAAGCTTCATCTTTCTCCCGAGGAGTGACTAGTGGATTCAAACTGCTGATCTTGTGATTAGCAGCTTAACACATAAACCTCTATGTCATCAGAGCTCCTTATATAGTATCTAGTCTCTTCTTTACCCCCTCTTTGTCTCCTTTCTCCACCCCTTTTCTTTTACCAAGCTCCAATTATGTTGTTGTTGTTAAGTGCCATTGAGTTGGTTCCAACTCAAAGTGACCCTGTATAGAGTGGCTAATGGGTGTGAACTGCTGACCTGGTGGTTAGCAGTCGAGTCTTTATCCTATAGTGCCACACCAGGACTCTAATTATAACTCTGCTATTTATAAGGTTTCCATGTATGACAGGACTGATATAATGCTAGCAACAATGGGCTCAAACATAACAATACTGGCGAGAATTGTGTAGGACTATTGTCAGTGTTTTGTTCTGCTATACGTAGGGTCACTACGAGATGGAACCAACTTGACAACATCTAACAACAACAACATATTATATGTGTCTGTTTGTTTCTTGGTTTTCTATTAAGTTCTACTGGACTATTGTTTTATACATATACATGGCTGTTGTTTTGTTATTAAGTGCTATTGAGTCAGTTCTGATGCATAGCAACCCTGTATAGGTTTTCTGAGGAACAGTTGTGGGTTTGAACCACCAGCTTTGTGGTTCAAACCGACCTTGAGGTCCAGTGCTTATCCTACTGTGCCACACCAGGATTCCACATATACATATACATTGTTAAGTGCCATCGTCAAGTCAGTTCTGACCCATAGCAACCCTGAATAGGGTTTCCAAAGAGTGGCTTGTGAGCTTGAACCGCTGACTTTGCGGTTCAAACCGACTTAGCAGCCCAGTGCATTAACCCACACAGCACCATGCCAGGACTCCAAACATATACAAGACGCACTCTTAATTATTTAAACTTTATAATAAGTCTTCATTTCGTAGTGCAGGTAAGTCTGAGTTGCCTATTATATCCCAGAGGAGATGTCACATACATATCTGGATATGAGTTAAAGTACAGGGGAGCCTTCTATGCTGCAGATGACAATTTTATAGCCAATAACATAGACAGATTTTTAAAGCTATGAGTTGGATGTGATCACCAAGAAAGAATACAAACAAAGAAGAGAGGGTCCAGAGGCACCACATAATTAAGTCAAGATGATGAGGAGAGATGAGCCAAGGAGACTGAGAAGGAATGGCCTGCAGGGTAAGAAGAAATCCAGGAGAGCATTTTCCTGAAAGACAAGCGAAGACAAAGTTCAAGGACAAGGGAGTTATCATCAGTGTCAAATGCTCCTGATAAGCCAACTAGGATGAAGACTGAAATTGGCCCTTAGATTTATAAATCAGTAGTCACTACTGTTCTTCATAAGCGTAGTTCAGAGGAGACAAAATGGCAAAAGCCTTATCACTCTGATATCAAGAGAGAGGAATAATTGGATAGAGTTACAGATAACTATTTTGAGGAAGTTTGCTGTAAAAAAGGAAGAGAGAAATGGAGTAGTAAGTAGAACAAAGTATGGTCAAGATTTTTGGGGTGATGCTTTTAAAACAGGAAAAACAACAGTATGATTATATAGGAATGATGGAACAAAAGAAGGAACTGATGAAGCACGGAGAAGACAATTAGAATTGCTAGAGTGATGTTGTTTTTAATATATCCCATTAAAATATAATTCATATACTATTATATGCATTGGAATCGACTCTATGGCACTTAACAACAGTGGGATGAAATGATTTCTGAGATTAATATGCTAGAGGGCATGACTCAGAAACTTAGGATACAGAATGCTTGAAATTGGGACCATGGAGGCTAGCGTAGAAGTCTCAGGGAGGAGAGGGCTAGTTATTGAGAATGACCAGTTTTAAAGTATAATCGTGGCTGGGGTCAGGTAAAAGACAAGAGTGTGGGAGGAAAAGAAGCAAGAGACAGAGGCCAAATCAATCATTTCTGTTGTTGTTCTGTGCCCTCAATTCGGTTCTGACTCATAGAGACCCTGTACAGGGTTTCCAAGAGTGGCAGTGGGTTTGAGCCGTTGATTTGACAGTTAGTCCAGTGTTTATCCACAGCACCACTGTTGTTGTTGTTATTATGTGCCGTGGAGTCGGTTCCAACTCGTAACAACCCTGTACTGGGTTTCCCAGGCTGTAAATCTTTACAGGCACAGAAAGCCTCATCTTTCTCCCGCAGAACAGCTGGTAGTTTTGAACTGCTGACCTTGCGGCTCACAGCCTGTTTTGTAATCTCTATGCCACCAGAGCTTCTTTACTAGGGCCCAAATCACTTCTATGGGTACGGAAATCACCAAGAACTATGATGGGGTAGCATCTGGTACAAGGATGCTGAGCAGCATTCATATTTTGTGATTTCATCAGGTAAGCATTTTTAAAAGACCTACATTTATAACCTTTAAGCTTTCAACATTTATTTTCAAGATTTCCATTAAATGTCAACTGCAAATGCATTAAGTTCAGGAAAAACATTTTGATAAGCTATAAAATAATGATGGCTTTCTATTTTATTGCTTCATAGTCACTATTTCCAATCTGTCCCCCACCATTTTCCTAGCAATTTTATAACCAGTATTAAACACCTACTCTACTACTTAAATGGTGGCAAGCTGCCACTTTGTTAAGTAAGGTGTACTTTATAAAATTATGAAAGGTGAGTATTTGTTTTTCTTTTCTTAAGATTCCAGGTTAGGTAAAAGGATACTTTAAAATGACTCAGCACAGGTAAAGCGTTTGGGGAGAACTTGTTGTCTGTCTATGAAATCTGATTTGGCCCTTGCCATGATCATTAAGATACTACTTTGATGGATGTACCCATCTACTACATGCACAACACTTGAATTCTAAGGAGATAATAAAGACATAAGCTTCCAATAGTTAATAATCAAAGGAGATAACACACATACATGGGAGAAGATACAGGACACATTAAAAAAAAAAAAAAAAAAGGCAGTAGAGAATCAGAAAAGAGAAAGGAAGACAGAAGGAAAGACCACTTCTAGGTGTGGTGATTGGAGTCCCCGAGTGGTGCACCTGGTCAGTGTGCAAGGCTGGTAACTAATAGATTGCGGTTTGAGTCCATCCAGAGGTGTCTCAGAGGAAGTGTATGGAGATGTACTTCTAAACAATCACATTGAAAACCCTATGGAGTACAGTTCTTATTCTGACCAACATGGAGTCACCATGAGCTAGAATTGATGTGAATGCAACTGGAACTAGATGTGGTGATCAGAGAATACTTCCCTTGAGAAGGTGGCATACAAGGAGAGCCTAAAAGAAGTATAAAGCAACTGAGAAAGAACTACAGTAAAACCTGCAAAAGCCAAACTGTGCAGGACAGAAACCTGTTGGAGAAAGAAAATTCAAATATTTTCCACTAAAGCAGTGACAGAAAGCAAAGTTGCACTTTGTCAAAGGTGGAAAACTTCTGAGATTCCCCCTCAAAAAACAGGCATCCTGCTCTCACAGATTTCACGGTATTTATCAGACAGAATACTATGAACAAAGAGGTATAAGGCAGAATAAAGAGATAACAGCAGAATAAGAAGTGGTCTAAGTAAGCCTGAGGAAAGGATAAATGAGAAAAAGTACTGGGGATGGTAGTCAAGGTCGATTAAACAGAGCTAAGAAAGTAGGATTTCATTTGTGGTAGCCACAGGAGAGTCAAACTTCTCTTGGCAAAGACTGGTTCTTAGATACTGATGCATTTGAGAAAAGAAAACTTAAGGCAGAGGTCCGGTTAGAAAACAACAGTGATAATAACTGTGCTGTTTAGATTCTGTGAGAAGCAGATGAAT